TAAAACATGAAGCCTTTCATTTGATTACAGCATTTTTTATCTGGAACGTCTCGGAGGACCAAGAGGCCACCCTCCCTCTGGGAGGTCCAGGGCGCTATGACCTGGCAGTGTTCTCGCGGTCTCCTTCGTCGCCCGTTGTGATGCTCGGGGATCGGACTCGAGTGCTCAGCTGGGACCCTGAGTTCAGCATGGTCACGACTTTCGCCTCAGAGCCGCGACCGTTGCCAGCTTTCGTCCAGCACAACTTTACTATTGAATGTAGTCAAGCTGAGAACCACTTTAAATGTGATGTGCTGGTAAAAAGCATTTTTGTTCGTTTCTTTTTTGCTATCATAATAAACTCTCTATTCCTCTAAAATTATCAGGGCATTTATTAGACCGGCCAATCGAATTTTGCGGTCACTAAGTGTCTCTTACAGCCAATGCAGGAATTGAAGTCACATTCACGTAACTTTTCATGCATTACGAGTGGGAAGCGTTGCCAAAAGAACATTGTAGTGTTTCTTGTGGGATTATTTGTAGTTTCCTTGTGGGATTTTTTGAAGATTTTATTATGTGTGTTTTGGTATTCAGTGTCCTTTGGTTTCATTTCTTAACATGTATCACTGCAAAATCAGAATCATTTTCTCCTGAGTGGAGAATTCTTCTATGTCAACAGACCAAATCTTCCTTTAGATTGTAGTTGTAGGTGGATACCTAGCCGATATTTTATTTCCATAAATAAAAGACGAGGCTAAAGCTAGACCCCTAAAATGTTTTCCCCTAAAAATGTAGAGCATTTTCTATTTCTTTCTTTCTTTCTTTTTTGCAATAGTTCGAGCTTTAGGATATACATCATCAATAATAATCCACAAAAATCTATAATTCTAGAAAAAAACGAAGCTTTTAAAGCTTTTAGACAACTTCAGTTCCTGAGGATTTAGTTCACAAGCACACTTATACATACACAAAGTAACTGAATTACACACTTGCTCAGTAGTCATGCACCTGTGTTCCCTTGCCAGGCTGGTCAGAACGAAACCCTGGTCGGCTCCGCCTCTCTGCCAGACGAGATAGACGCGCTTTCCATCCACGGGAGTCATGCAGAAAATTTCATCGTTATCCTGCGAGGCATCATATGTATGTTTTTTTTTTCTTTTACTCAAGGAAATGATGTCAATGTTTCTTGAAAATTTATGGCATATCGTTATTGAGAAATAAAACGAAATGAAACTGTTAATCTTGAAAATGATAACTGATTTTTTATTATGATATACATTCTCTGATAATGAAAGCGTGAATTATTACCATGTCAACAAGAGTTTTTACCATGAAAATATAACATTCCATGAGGTAAATTTAAATTTCTAATTAAAAAAAAAAGGTACTGTGATGGTATGTTTCTCTAAATGTAATGTAAAATATTTATCACACTATGTAACCTGCATTCTAATATGACTCTTCGACTACATGAACTGATATCTTTATTGTTAAAAAAGTAATGATGTGAATCCCACGAGCAGACGAGGAAGCGACGGCCGGCGACAACAGCTCCCTCGAGGAAGCCGATGGCCCTCTAGTCGACTGGCTCAATGGCGTTCTCTCTTATTCCCCGTTAGTCTTCAATGCTCTTCTGGTAGTGGCCGTCGCTGTTCTTTATGTGAAGAACAAAAAAATCAAGGTATTTCACGTTCATTCACTTGTAGGACGAGGATAAAAGCAAGGGACGCTGTCATGATGATATTCTATTATTATATATATACATATATATATATATATATATATATATATATATATATATATATATATATATATATATATATATATATATTTATATATGCAATATATTTATAAATGTATGTATATGTATATAGATAGATAGATATATTGACAGATATATAGATATATATATATACACACACTTGTATATATATATATATATATATATATATATATATATATATATATATATATATATATATATATATATATATATATATATATATATATATATATATATATATATATATATATATATATATATATATATATATACATATATATATATATATATATATATATATATATATATATATATATATATATATATATATATATGTATATATATGTATATGTATATATATATATATACATATATATATATATATATATATATATATATATATATATATATATATATATATATATGTATATATATATACATATATATATGCATACACGCATGTACACATATATACATATATACATACGTACATACATACATACATATATACATGCTTACATATATATTATATATATATATATATGTATATATATATATATATATATATATATATATATATATATATATGTATATATCTATATATATATATATATATATATATATATATATATATATATATATATATATATATATAGATTTGTCTTTTTTCCTTTTTTGTGTCATCACCGTTGCGGTGTTTGACGAACTACTAGGTGCCATGTTGACACACGGGCGATA